GAGAGGAGACGTCCTTGTGTTGGTGTGATGGACAGGAGAACAAGGAGAGGAATCGTCATGGTGTCGGTGTGATGGACAGGAGAAAAGGGAAAGGAGACGCCCTTGTGTTGGTGTGATGGACAGGAGAACAATGAGAGGAATCGTCATGGTGTTGGAGTGATGGACAGGAGAACAGGTAAAGGAGACGTCCTTGTGTTGGTGTGATGGACAGGAGAACAAGGAGAGGAGACGTCCTTGTATCAGGTTGGATGGACAGGAGAACAAGGAGAGGAGACGTCATTGTGTCAGGTGTGATGGACAGGAGAACATGGAGAGGAGACGTCCTTGTGTTGGTGTGATGGACAGGAGAACAGGGAGAGGAGGGTAGGAGTAGTGAATACGTGGAAGAGAATCTAAATCCCTTTGTTACTGTATCATGCGCCTGTAAAATATCTATTATGTAGCCGAGATACTGCTCGCATGCTTCCATATCATAGTGAAAGATAAAAGGCGCCTGCACGATTTCTGTTAATATTGAAGAAATGAGGGAGAGGGAATGTCTTTATACCGTCTCGTGTTTACTTTTTGAACGAAATTCGAGGTGAAGTGTTTTTTTCAAACTTATAAACCGTCTAAATGCAAGAAATACCATAATGAATGATGAAACACAGGGATAGCTGACAGTCAAACAATAGCGCTGTGACTTTATAAACGAATTCGATGACAGAACGAAATAGAGATCAAGTGCAGCATGCAGACAAGTGAAGTCAGTTAGTGTAAGATTGGACATACTTTCATCATCGATCCCATAGTATGTGCCCAACACACTTTCTATGAAGCAAAAAAGAAGGTTTGCTGGGGGGCATGTACTTAAAAATATATATTTTTTTAAATTGTTTTTTTTTGCCAGCCTCTCTCTAGTCTAGCGGCTCCCCCAAAAGGCTATACACACGAAGGTTCGATCACACTGATCGATAAGTAGCATATGTCGTTACATAATTCCACAATTTTGCTTAGGTTATAAATTTAATGTAATAGCAGTGTAGTGCCATGCATATAGAATTGCAGCGGCATAGCACTATTAGCTTTATTTGGAAATGTTTTAATTCAGCAATATGCCTCTGTGTGTGTGTATGTGCGTGTCTTTGTGCGCGTGTGTGAGTGCGTGCGTGCGTGCGTGCGTGCGTGCGTGCGTGCGTGGGTGCCTGCCTGCGAAGAAGCAGTATTGCGATTAAAGAAAACTCAAGAAGATTTTTAATATCCACGCTGTGGATCTGGACTATCTATAACGTGCACCTTAAATATCCATGTTCTGCATTTTGAATATCTTCGGTGTGTATCTTGAATATCTCATTGTGCATCTTGAATATCTACGTCGAAAATGTTTAATTTCTACGTTGGGCTGATAGAATATCTACGGTGTGCATCTCGAATATCTACACTGTGCATCTTGAATATCTATGATGTATATCTTGAATATCTACGTTGTATATCTTGAATATCTACGTTGTGCATCTTGAATATCTATGATGTATATCTTGAATATCTACGTTGTATATCTAGAATATCTACGACGTGCGTTGAATATCTATGATATGCAACTTACACAATCAAGAATAATGCACATTTCATGCTGGTAGAAATTGCTTTTACTTTTTCAAATGATTCTTGCAAGGAAATTGCTTAGCATAGCCGTGGCCCCCGGGAAGCTGACCTTTCTTGTAGTTGACTAGAAGAAGCAGTAGGTCATCTGAAGATGAGCAGCGGATAACATATTGGGAGAGAAGGTCGCCGCTACAGCGGATACAGATAAAGATCGATGCTGCCGCTAAAGGGATGCATCGCCATATCTGAAAGAAAGTATACACAAAATTTGATTTGACCAAACAATTAAAAATGTTATCAAAACCTTAATAGGTTGAACTCCGTCACCGTAACACGGCAAACGTAACATCAAAAAGACAACCATGATAACCGTGTCAAATACATAACCATCGAATAACCGTACATAGGTTATATGTGGCTGTATATATGCAAGGTATACGTGTGCGTGCGCGTGTGCGTGTGCGTGTGCGTGTGCGTGTGCGTGGTTTTGACAATTTAAGTCATTGTTTCCCCTAGCATACAGTTCGCCAGAATATGTTATTTACAATGAATCATGTGTTATGTGTTTTATCGCAACCATTGTTTGAGACAAATGATACAAAACAAATGATAAAAGTCAGGTTCTGACTTAAGTTTTAATGCCGAGTCTAAATCACATCAACTTCTATATTATATTACTATTGTAAAGAGTATTACAAAGTATTATGAAGAGTGAACAAGTCTATATTAAAGGCTTCTGGGTTGGTTCCCGAGGAATATAGGCAAAGATTTAGGCATACGGATAAGAGGGCTTGTTTGGATGAACGCAAGGTAGATCAGTCACGCCAGGCTTCAGCCAGGGCAGATAATTCGGTTACCCATAAAAGTAATGTTAGGCAGTGTGGTTACTTTCTCTGGAATTGTCAGTGAAATTTAGGACACCTCCATCATGTAATTCAGGCCATGAAATGTTAGCTGCATCTGTTCAGTTCATTCCCTGGAAAAATAGCTACCCAATTGCAAGTTGCTTCCAAACAGGATTCGGGTTTGTCGTCATGTGTCAGATATATATATTATCACAAGCCAGGTCATCTGACTTCGGATTGTCGTATACTCAAGGCCAAACTCAGTCACAAACCTCACCCCATGCTCAATGTCAAGGCTATCTCTTATGGCATTATCACTGACGATGAATACTTACATGTGTGGCGTTCAGCGTATATTTTAAACGCTTTTGTATCACTCATTTGTGATGCATACGCATTCCGACCGACTATTCTGAGGACACAGGAGCACATAAGCCTTTGCTGTTAGAGGGCGTCAGTTTTGGAAATGTCAGGTTTAGTGAAAGTTGGTGTCAAGAAAACTTTTACCTGCTTGATGATACTGATTTTGCAGGGTCAAATATTTTGTCTGATCCATGTGTTAGTAGTGAGCCAGAGAGAACTGAAATTCTCAAGGAATAAATTTGTGGTATATTTCCTTCATATGCTAGGACTCGTTCTTTGGCCAAGAAGAACTCCCAGGAGACCCCAAGAAGAATTTTGAGCTTGTTGGTTCTTCAATGGATAATTCTCTTCAGGCTACCTTTTCCTTATACTAGAGCACTGACCCTGTACTCTCTCGGACGCAGCTCATTTCTTTGAAGGGTGACGATTATGAAATCCTAGTACTCGCTGAGGCTCCCAACGTCCCTGTTTGTTCCCACCTCCAAGACAGTTGTTTGATGACAAAAATGGAGACCCCTAGAAGTTTCTCCTCAAGATCAGATTGGGTTCCAGAGAGATGAGTTTGGCCAACCATACCCCTATGATATTCTGGTGTGGGTGTGGATGTGTGGGTCGGGGCAAACACCTAATACATTACTCTACAATTGAGAAAGAAAACTCTTTCTTTATATTTGTCATTGCAACATTTTCAGTTGGGTTGGAAACTACGATGCATCGCATTGAAATGTCATTGATAGCATTTCGCTGAATTTTGAAGAGCACAACCAGAGATTGATGAGGTGGAGTTGAAGAATTTTAACTTGAAATCAAACATATCAAGGGCTAATGCGGGTACTCTTTCTAGAGTCAGTTGATTGGATCAGTACACAGATGCACTTTTGCTAATTATACAGGTGGCATGCATTACTATTTTCTTTTAACAGAGTGTGTTAGGTAAACTTGAAGATATCCATTGTAAAGAAGGTTTTACTGCATTCAAACTTTCATCTGTTGAAGGGGGTACGGGTAGCCTAGTCGTCTTAGGCGCCGCGATTGGTTGTGCAGAATTGCTTCCTTTGGGCACGCCAGAAGCCTTTGATTGTGGGTTCGAATCCCGTGTCGCCCCGTTTTTGTTTCTAGGTTTGTCAGCACCATACCCATGCTCGTGGGTTTCACCCAAGTGGTAAACGTCTGAGACCTGCATCACTTCGGGCTTTCTCCCACCTTAAGCTGACACGCCGCGGTATAACTGGAATACTGTTAAAAGCAGCATTAAACCAAACTCACTCACTTACTCTTCTGTTGAAGGGGAGGAGCGTTATGGAGTAGCATGGTGGTTGTGAATTTATTTGTAGTAATTGTCAGTGGCAGCAGATGATTGCAGTGCTAGCAAAAGGTCGAGAGTTATCTGCTCAGGAATTTTAGTCACCAACATGAATCGAGTAGTTTCGGGATTGGTTTGAATGTTCGAGAAGTTTAGGGATGGTAAAGCTGAGTGTACATGTATATAAAATCGACACGAGGGCGTCTTTCGAGGCCTTTGTCTACCTGACTAGCGTCTTACATACCTGCCAAGTGGGGAAAGGATAGTTAGTTGTAAACATCGAAATCCCGGAACATTCCAACAATATTCCGGAAGTGCTGTGCGAGCATACTCCTAAGTTAACCTTTTCGTTTCGATTTTGAAAACCCTTCGCAACAGTACATATACGAATGTACCACAGGTCGATTTTGTGGAATACACGCGCATTTTGAGAAAATTTACCTTTATTTGACTTGTTTCCATAAGATTGTTGTTTGGGAGTCCGAGGGTTTGACTAAACCAAGGAAATCACCTCTGTTACTTTCAAACACTCCTCTCTTTTTATATATACATACCCTATAAATAGATTGGCGTGGTTGGTAGAAAAACATGACACACAATTTCATTATTGTATTTAGACTACATAGTCAAAGAAAAGAGAAATCAATGCCTTGCTTGTAATGACGAGAATACTAATATTTATTAGTTCATAACCGATAGACAGGATTTAGAAGTCTGTCAAGAAAAAACAGTTTGCGTTACAATAACTCCAGCGAATATGAACAAAACATTCGAAAGGACAAATGAGTGACTTTCATAAGTCGTGACAACTATCGACATCGCGCTGTACTCACTGAGCGTGACAACATGGGTTCTCATCGGTGACAATAGCGCAAGGGTGGAACATATACGATCCACTAACCATGATGGCAGTACACCCCCTCCCCTCCCACCATGGCAGTACACCCCCTCCCCTCCCACCATGGCAGTACACACCCTCCCCTCCCATCTTGGCAGTACACCCCTCTCCACCCATCATAGCAGTACGCCCCCTCCCTTCACATCATAGCAGTACACCCCTCCCCTCCCACCATGACAGTGCACCCCCTCCCCTCCCACCATGGCAGTACACACCCTCCCCTCCCACCATGACAGTGCACCCCCTCCCATCATGGCTGTACACCCCCTCCCTTAATATCATAGCAGTACACCCCTCCCCTCCCACCATGACAGTGCACCCCCTCCCATCATGGCAGTACACCCCCTCCCTTAATATCATAGCAGTACACCCCTCCCCTCCCACCATGACAGTGCACCCCCTCCCATCATGGCTGTACACCCCCTCCCTTAATATCATAGCAGTACACCCCTCCCCTCCCACCATGACAGTGCACCCCCTCCCATCATGGCTGTACACCCCCTCCCTTAATATCATAGCAGTACACCCCTCCCCTCCCACCATGACAGTGCACCCCCTCCCATCATGGCTGTACACCCCCTCCCTTAATATCATAGCAGTACACCCCTCCCCTACCACCATGACAGTGCACCCCCTCCCATCATGGCTGTACACCCCCTCCCTTAATATCATAGCAGTACACCCCTCCCCTCCCACCATGACAGTACACCCCCTCCCATCACAGCAGTACACCCCTCCCCTCCCATCATGGCAGTACACCCCCTCCCCAAACCATCATAGCAGTACACCCCTCCCCTCCCATCATGGCAGTACACCCCATCCCCCAATCAAAGTAGTACACCCCCTCCCCTCCCATCATAGCAGTACACCCCCTCCCCCAATCAAAGTAGTACATCCCCTCCCCTCCCGTCATAGCAGTACACCCCCTCCCCTCCCATCATAGTAGTACACCCCCTCCCCTCCCATCATGGCAGTACACCCCCTCCCCTCCCATCTTGGCAGTACACCCCATCCCCCCATCATAGTATTACACCCCCTCCCTTCTTGGCAGTACACCCCCTCCCCTCCCATCTTGGCAGTACACCCCTTCCCCTCTCATCTTGGCAGTACACCCCCTCCCCTCCCATCTTGGCAGTACACCCCTTCCCCTCTCATCTTGGCAGTACACCCCCTCTCTTCCCATCATAGCAGTACACCCCCTCCCCTCCCATCTTGGCAGTACACCCCCTCCCTTCCCATCAGGACAGTACACCCCTCCCTTCTGATCACGGCAGTACACTCCCTCCCTTCCTATCATAGCAGTACACCCCCTCCCCTCCCACCATGACAGTACACCTCCTCCATTCCCATCGTGGCAGTACGCCCCCTCCCTTCCCACCCATCATTGCAGTACACATCCTCCCCTCCCATCTTGGCAGTACACCCCCTCCCCCCATCATAGCAGTACACCCCCTCCCCTCCCATCTTGGCAGTACACCCCCTCCCCTCCCATCTTGGCAGTACACCCCCTCCCCTCCCATCTTGGCAGTACACCCCCTCCCCTCCCATCTTGGCAGTACACCCCCTCCCTTTCCCATCATGGCAGTACACCCCATCCCCCCATCATTGTAGTACAACCCCTCCCCTCCCATCTTGGCAGTACACCCCCTCCCGTCCCATCTTGGCAGTACACCCCCTCCCCTCCCACCATGGCAGTACACCCCCTCCCCCCATCATAGCAGTACACCCCCTCCCCTCCCATCTTGGCAGTACACCCCCTCCCCTCCCATCTTGGCAGTACACCCCCTCCCCTCCCATCATGGCAGTACACCCCATCCCCCCATCATAGCAGTACACCCCCTCCCCAAACCATCATGGCAGTACACCCCATCCCCCCATCATAGCAGTACACCCCCTCCCTTTCCCATCATGGCAGTACACCCCATCCCCCCATCATAGTAGTACAACCCCTCCCCTCCCATCTTGGCAGTACACCCCCTCCCGTCCCATCTTGGCAGTACACCCCCTCCCCTCCCATCATGGCAGTACACCCCATCCCCCCATCATAGCAGTACACCCCCTCCCCTCCCATCATGGCAGTACACCCCCTCCCCCCATCATAGCAGTACCCCCCCCCCCCCCCTCCCATCATGGCAGTACACCCCATCCCCCCATCATAGCAGTACACCCCCTCCCCTCCCATCATGGCAGTACACCCCATCCCCCCATCATAGCAGTACACCCCATCCCCCCCATCATAGCAGTACACCCCCTCCCCTCCAATCATGGCAGTACACCCCATCCCCCCATCATAGCAGTACCCCCCCCCCCCCCCCCCTCCCCCTTCCCATCATGGCAGTACATAGCCTCCCCTCCCATCTTGGCAGTACACCCCCTCCCCTCCCATCTTGGCAGTACACCCCCTCCCCTCCTATCTTGGCAGTACACCCCTTCCCCTCCCATCTTGGCAGTACACCCCGTCTCTTCCCATCATAGCAGTACACCCCCTCCCCTCCCATCTTGGCAGTACACCCCTCCCTTCCGATCACGGCAGTACACTCCCTCCCTTCCTATCATAGCAGTACACCCCCTCCCCTCCCACCATGACAGTACACTTCCTCCCTTCCCATCGTAGCAGTACGCCCCCTCCCTTCCCACCCATCATTGCAGTACATATCCTCCCCTCCCATCTAGGCAGTACACCCCCTCCCCCCATCATAGCAGTACACCTCTCCCCTCCCATCTTGGCAGTACACCCCCTCCCCTCCCATCTTGGCAGTACACCCCCTCCCCTCCCATCTTGGCAGTACACCCCATCCCCCCATCATAGTAGTACAACCCCTCCTCTCCCATCTTGGCAGTACACCCCCTCCCGTCCCATCTTGGCAGTACACCCCCTCCCTTTCCCATCATGGCAGTACACCCCCTCCCCCCATCATAGCAGTACACACCCCTCCCCCTTCCCATCATGGCAATACACCCCCTCCCCTCCCATCTTGGCAGTACACCCCCTCCCCCCATCATAGCAGTACCCCCCCCCCCCCCCCCCCCCCCCCCAATCATAGCAGTACGACCCCTCCCCTCCCATCTAGGCAGTACACGCCCTCCCCCAATCATAGCAGTACACCCCCTCCACTCCCATCTTGGCAGTACACCCTCTCCCTTCCCATCTTGGCAGTACACCCCCTCCCCCCATCATAGCAGTACACCCCCTCCCCTCCCATCTAGGCAGTACACCCCCTCCCGTCCCATCATGGCAGTACACCCCACCCCTACCATTATAGCAGTTCATCCCCTATCCTCCAAAGAGGTTGGGCTACTACATTCTCTCCAGAGATGGCAGAACACCCCAAGCGTCCCATGATAGTAGTACACAAACTTCCCTCCATAGATTCACTAGATGGCGGAGCACAACCTCCCTTCCTTTAGGTCCAAGTGACCAATGATAAAAACTGATACGTCCGCACAGACTACACAATTACACAATGGACATATTTATGTTAGCGTGTTTAGAGTAGACAATTTCATCAACGAGAGCACACCTAGGCTGGAATGTCGAATTTGAATATTTCCGCTCTCTCATTTAATGAAAATATACAAGAAACATATCGCAGGTGTAAACCACAGTTTCTAAATACCCACTTCCTTGACCACATTGTGGCATTGTCCTACACCTGCAATACTGCTACAGATGCAGCTGCATGATAACACATTTGACACTATGTGGTTGTGCCAGATACAGGATGACGCCACTTCGTGCCTTGTCCCTGCTCGCGTTACTCCCAGTGATATACTCTGGCGATCTAGGGGCACGTCAAGTGCAGGCTCACAGGGCCACAGAGATAAAACAAAATAAACAGATATATGTGGATAAGACACGAGAAACAACACCCTAAACATAATCATATGGCACTATTTACGTCGTGTTAGAACCTTAATCAAACAACATTCATTTCATAAACGGCGTGATAGATCTCACAATAAATTCTTTGAGACAGATGCAATACCTGTAAATATCCAAAGGTGGCCACAAAAGCAAAAGAATAGTGATGTAATCTCCATTGGAAAGGAAATTAACGTAATACATATTGCTTGACGAACGTTAAGGAGTCAGGCGGGGACTACCAACACACTGTTGTCCCTCCACGGCTCGAAACTGTATGCTTCCGTTGTGTCCTGTACACAGCCGCTGTACACTCCTCTCAAACAGTCGGTCATGGGCTGGCGGCACTCACTTTCACAGACTAACTCTCAAGAATACCCATGCCCCAACTATTTGTCGTAGTATGTCTCCAAGGTTGTTTGCTCGTGGTTCAGGTCGTTGACGTTGGTCAGCTCGTAGCCGTTACTGGTGACTGCAGTTCTGCTGATGCTCATAGAACGAGAGTGTTTGTAAAGCTTGTGGAATATACGCAGCAGCACCTTGCGGAACTTTCGACCGAACGCAGTGTAGATGAGAAAGTTGACAGCAGAGTTCAGGACAAACAGGAAGTTGCTCACAGCCAGCCATTTATGAAACAGATGAACTTCAAAGATATCGAATTGCGCTAGGAGGCCTGGTGTCTGACAGAAAATAAACACCACAACTATCAGCACCAGCACCAGACTAAGATTAGCTTCGTTATCCTCTTGGTTATTTGCGCCTGAGCGCCTTTGCTGCATCCTCATTAGTTCCTGTATGATGAATACATTGAGGATGAACAAAACCCCAAGCGGCACCACATAGATGATGATACAGAACATGATGTAGCCGTACACTGTCTTGTAGGACCAGGTCTTCCCCAGATCCGTGTCCGCCAGGTAGAAGCAGGCTTTGCCGTGACTTTTCTCAGCCTCTGAACACTCTCTAGCGTGAGTAGCAAATATACGGGGGATGTTATAGCCGATGGAGACGATGACAATAACGATTATGACAACGAGCGCTTTTTTCTTGGTGCAGATTCGAGCCGCTCTGAATGGATGGCAGATGGCAATATATCGCTCCACCGATACTGACACCGTTACCCACACGTTGACGGCCTGCAGCGACATCATGATGAAGTTGAGGGGAGTATGGATGGGCGGGTAGATCACCTCCCGGTAGTACACCAGAGACTCCGACTCCAGGTAGTTGGAGCAGGCGAAGGGCGTCAGAGCGATGACGGACATGAGCAGTATTCCGGTGTCGGATACTACAAGGGCCCGTAGATAATAGATTGTAGGGGACTGCATTTCCCGCCTCCATAACACAACCATGGTTAGAATGTTCCCAACGATACCCGATAAGGCAACTAGGGGAAGCAGGATACCCCAGAATATAAACTGCCACAGGAACGGCTCCTGTGACCCTCCCTCGTCCTGGATGTACGACCCACCGCCATAGGACAGATTGATCCTCAGGTTGATTTCACCCAGCGACATTGTGAAGGACGGGCTCACGTGCATGCAGCGGAGAGCATCTCTGTAGACAGCAGGGTAGCGCCTTCACCTGAATAACACATAACATGACAGTGGTGAGATAGGAATATAACAAATATACAATGAGTTGTCTAACATAAACATATGCAATAAAGCACGACATTACCGTCGTGGTGCCGGGTGAAGCAGTCGGAGGTCTACCCGTGTTCTTCTTACAGTGGATCCGTACAAGCAGATCGGGCAGGCTTGGAGAAACCCATCGTTTGTAACTTTAACCAGTGCTTGACAATATCGTTCCTTAAATCAGATGATTAACCAATATAGGTTCTGTCATACACATTCATGCTGACACAGATGGCCTGGCATGCACAACGCGCTCAGGTTGCTAAGGTCCGTGGCGGCGCGGTTAAGCTGGTTAAGGAGTAGGTACATGGGGGTGATTAATGACCGAATTGGGAAATATTTTCATTTATGAAGGCCTGTTTAATAAGATGAAGAATACCCATTGACACCAAATCCATACACTATGCAACACTAGCCACGGGCGACGAAATGTTGAATATCACATAACACTCAGAGGATACAATGATATGAAAGGTTCAGGTTTATTTAGCGCCTATAAATCCGAGATATTTTGTAATTCAGAATTAATGCGCATCTCACGGACGGTCTACGGTGATGAAATGTGAGATGGTCTAAAGGCAGACAGTGATGAGATGTGAGGTGGTCTAAAGGAGGATGGACTCTCGACAGTGATGAGATGTGAGATGAACTGAAGGAAGACGGACTCGCTTCTGCGATGAGATGTGAGATGGTCTAAGGGAGGGTGGACGCTCTACAGTGATGAGATGTGAGATGGTCTAAGGGAGGGTGAACGCTCTACAGTGATGAAATGTGAGATGGTCTAAGGGAGGGTGGACGCTCCACAGTGATGAGATGTGAGATGGTCTAAGGGAGGGTGGACGCTCTACAGTGATGAGATGTGAGATGGTCTAAGTGAGGGTGGACGCTCTACAGTGATGAGATGTGAGATGGTCTAAGGGAGGGTGGACGCTCTACAGTGATGAGATGTGAGATGATCCGAAGGAAGACAGACACTCTACAGTGAGATGAGATGTGATATGATGTGATTTAACTCTGTGTGATGTGAGAATCAAGCTTTATGTGATGTGATAAATAAGCGTGATGTGGTGTGATAAATATGCGTGATGTGATGTGATGTGATGTGATGTGATGTGATGTGAACATCAAGGTTTATGAGATGTGATAAATAAGCGTGATATGGAGTGATCAATAAGCGTGATGTGGAGTGATGTCAACATTTAGGGATCAAACAAGGACAAAACAAGATATCCATTTTAACCTGCGTCATGGTATCTCAGAAGGCTAGCACTGTCAACTCGGCATAAGACCGGACTAGTAGCCCAAATACATGCATGCACGTCGATATAAAAGTGCAATAAACGTCATCGTGACGTTAAATCCCACTTCTGCTGACCTCAAACGTCGATCAAACTAACAGGTTTTCGACAATAGTTACTTTGCAATTACATACCCCTTCTGCACTACTGTCTTCTGTAAACATGTGTGATACCCCTTCTACACTACTGTCTTCTGTAAACATGTGTGATACCCCTTCTACACTACTGTCTTCTGTAAACATGTGTGATACCCCTTCTACACTACTGTCTTCTGTAAACATGTGTGATACCCCTTCTACACTACTGTCTTCTGTAAACATGTGTGATACCCCTTCTACACTACTGTCTTCTGTAAACATGTGTGATACCCCTTCTACACTACTGTCTTCTGTAAACATGTGTGATACCCCTTCTACACTACTGTCTTCTGTAAACGTGTGATATAATATAAGAAATAAACTGTACATGTCAAATAAATTTTGACTCCTTTACGGGGGCGCTTATAAGGATTGCTTACATAATGGTTTCTAAATTGGCCAGAGCGCACTGAAGGGAACAGGGCACTCAATACGTGCAACATTATTCATACGCAGTGAACTACAAGAATTCCGTGGTCAAAAACCTTATTTAACAACATTTTTAAACCATCCAGATTGCAGCACAGACTGCCATTTGTTTTACATTCACTAGTACTCATTGATCATAATGTACACATATCACTAGAATGTGTTTGCTTTACTATAAAAAGGACCAATGAGTTGGATATTCTTCAGGGACCCCAGTGATATTATGATATTCTCAATCCATCTAGTATATTAATCTATATGATATCATTTATTTCATATTAATTCCTTCGTTACAAAATTCCCCGGAAGCCCGTCTATTTATCCTTGTCATATCCTTTTAACAGACACAAGTCACTCACAGGCCTCTTGCGAGACAACGCTCTGTTCATCTGTGGGGTTCTGCGAGAAGCCTTATGATCAGTGTCTCCAGTACGAAGACCTTGATGTGAACACGTGTGCGTATGTAGTACTGTCCATTGGGGACAAGTGATTGCCTTGAGAGTAGTCTGCTTTAGCAAGCTCTGCTGTAAACGTGCTATCTCCGCAAAGTGACCAGTGGCTATCTATCTGCACGTGCCGGGCGTGCTCCCCCTACCTACCCTACATTCTGGTTATGGTACTTCGTAATTAAGTATTTATAATGGGAATAATTGTGGATTCAGTCTATTCTGTGCCTACTACATGTTGCAAATGATAATAAATATACGATAGAAAGATCAGACATAGTTCCCATACTCAAACTCTGACGTCGGTAATGACTTTATTCCAGATAAATTGTACTCAAACACTCATGTAACATCTCGTTCCTCAAGTCATAATTGTTACAGTGGCTTGTTGCACTGGGACCCCAATACACATGAGCTAAACTTGTGGTCCCATTATTGACAATAACCAATCGCCTAAAGGCCCTTGTAGTCATGTCCAGACTGGGTTTAAATATTATTAATGCAATCAGAAAAACCAAAAGAGGTGAAGCAACCCGTTTAGCTATGTATAAATATTTACATTGACAATTGCTCGAGGCTTCAATTGACAGTTGTCGCCTCATTCGTGCTTCGGTCCGCCATCTTCTAAGATGGCTGCCGGCAGACTGACGTCACGAAAGGAACAATTAACAAGAAAATACAGATAATATCACGCTTGGCTTGAAGTTACCAAGACGGCTGGGTGTTTAGTAAATAGTACACTTGCCCATCAAGGAATGTTTCATGTGAAAATGGATGTACTTATAAGGATGTCCTTATTCATTAAAGAATTTTGACAAGGCGAGCGGACTGTGTAGCGCATACATGGATCGATTGAAGCACTGAACGTAATATGTTGTAATCAATCATGAATTGTTAATACAAAGATTACGGGAAAATGGCACTTCAAGCTAGTGGCATGTTTAATTCTGGCCTGTACTTTGATTTAGCATGTCTCTAGGAAAATAGTTTCATGAAACATTGATAGCTTGTACAACACTTCCATCACAATGCGACCTAATGCAAACGTGATAAATTATTCCACTGGTTCCAACAAGATAAATTATTCCTAAGCTCGTGCGTGCTAGATGGGAGTGGCTAACGACATACACCGTCACACGTCACATCAGGCCATAGCGACGTCCCTCAGAACCTGACTTGCGGTAATCACACCGTCACACGTCACATCAGGCCATACCGACGTCCCTCAGAACCTGACTGGCGGTAATCACACCGTCACAAGTCACATCAGGCCATACCGACGTCCCTCAGTACCACACCGTCACACGTCACATCAGGCTATACCGACGTCCCTCAGTACCCAATCACACCGTCACACGTCACATCAGGCCATACCGACGTCCCTCAGTACAGCAATCACACCGTCGCACGTCACATCAGGATGTACCGACGTCCCTCAGTACCGCAATCACACCGTCGCACGTCACATCAGGCTATACCGACGTCCCTCAGTACCGCAATCACACCGTCACACGTCACATCAGGCCATACGGACGTCCATGAGTACCTCACTCACACCGTCGCACGTCACATCAGGATGTACCGACGTCCCTCAGTACCGCAATCACACCGTCACACGTTACATCAGGCCATACCGACGTCCCTCAGTACCTCAATCACACCGTCACACGTCACATCAGGATGTCCCGACATCCCTCAGTACCTCAATCACACCGTCACACGTCACATCAGGCCATACCGACGTCCCTCAGTACCGCAATCACACCGTCGAACGTCACATCAGGCCATACCGACGTCCCTCAGTACCGCAATCACACCGTCACACGTCACATCAGGATGTACCGACGTCACTCAGTACCGCAATCACACCGTCACACGTCACATCAGGCCATACCGACGTCCCTCAGTACCTCAGGACCTGACCGTTATCCGTCATACACTGGCAGAACAAGTTAAACAAGGTCATGACGACGTCCCTCAAATTACCAACCTGGTGGTATCACCGTTTGACGTCATATAAGGTCATGACGCCGCCCCTCAGTGCGCGATTGGTGTCATACACCGTCACACATCACATGTGGCCATGACGACGCTCTTCAATACGTGATCCGCGTTATACACCGTCACAGGTCATGTACCAGGCCTTGACGACACCCATCGGCACGGTTGTGCTCCCATGAAGTCCAAGCTGTGTGGCGAGCTGATATCGACTGCTGTCACACTGTAACTTTACCTCGAAATATGACACTTTCACATATCGATCTTCGAATTGTTATCTGTTCATGGCTCACCTTTTTTTAAACAGATGGGGTAATACTACGTGTAACATAACATGTATATTTTATACATCCATTTTTCAGCTGGTACTTGACGAATGTGAAGCGTCAGTTTGTCTCAGTGGAACTGGTTAGAAAACATGGCAAAAGTAAAAGCTTAATGGTCTCGACTTCATCCTTGATACGCTCTCCTCCAGTATGGGATCAAGTGTCTGTCCCAGTGTCATTCACCTTTATGTAACGGACGGAATGGCGAGTAAAGACTCTGTGAGATTATGATACTCACCACAAATTTATTATTAATCAGATTTCTGTTTCTTCATGGACATTATAGATAGTTTGATATATCTATCAAGGATGT